TCTGGGCGGCGGCCTCGGCAGCATCCGTGATTTCCACATTATCATCCACATCTAAGTTATCATAAAACGAGGGAGGAACAAATGCTCCATCTTTTATACAACCAAAATGATGCAATTTTTCAGTGCTGAAAGATATATCCGGATTAAAAAACTTAATCTAATTAACAACATTGGTGAAAGCAACCTCAGCCGTTTTCTCCAGCATGGATTGACTATAATCATAGTCACTGTGCTGATTTTGAAGATCGGCCTTTAACTTCTAATGTTCAGAAGTTAAGCAGTTCAGCCTTTAACTTCTAATGTTCAGAAGTTAAGCAGTTCAAGGAAGATTCTTTTTCACGAAGAATCTTCGATTTTTCCTTCAAAAAGTTGACAATAACATCTTTGTCAGCTTCAAGGTCTAAAGAATGGCAACAAATTTTAAATTAGCCTTGGACTGCAGTAGGTTGGTCTCCAGCTCGGCAAAAGAGTCAACTAGACTTTGGTGCTCTCCCACAGCCTTGTCATGTTCAGCACATAGTGTGTCTGCTTCTTCATGCAACTTTGTATATTTTTCAAGCAAAATTGAATATGGCTTCAATAAGGATGCCGCCTTATATGCATAAAGCTCGGCTTTCTGAATCTCCTTCATCTCAGTCTTTGACAACATTCTAGTACCAAAAAAAGGGGAGGAGGAGGAGTTACACCACGAAGCTCGGTTGCAACTCCAGATTCCCATAAAGCCCCTCTCCTTAATCTAACGGGAAGAGCAGGTACGGATGTCCCTATGTCTACTGTAACCACTGCTTTTGAAGTAGTCCCACTTGGGATCTCGGATTACGAAGCAACGGTAGCTTTGGACTTCACTATATTTTCATGTTGCTCTGTGAGATCCAAAATTGGGGTGGCGGAAGCAGAGGTATTGGAAGCCCTTCTAGCAATGTGTTTCTCATCATACTTTGAAAACTCTGCCAAGTTAAGGTTCTTTGGGAAAGATGCATCAACAATCCTGTCTATGAAGGGACTGTTGTTATATTATCCCCTGCAATATTTTCTCCTATAAATACCAGTAACATCTTGGCTTTTAGAAATCAGATTCTGATCTCTTTCCACAATTACTTCATGCTGATCATACTCATCTCTCCTATTTCGGCCGACTTCACTACCTTGGAGGGCATTATCTCCGCGAATGCGACCTCGGTTGTGCGTATCCAATGCTCTTTCTTGGTCGAATCTATCATCTCGGTAAGTGTGTTATTCCCGAGCCCTATTTTCTTCACCTAAGTTTCTCCCTCAAACATGATTATTTCTACCACGTTCCTAGATTGGCTCGTGTACTCTCCTGGGAGAATCTGCCTTCTACAGGTCACCCAGGATTCAAGTTGTTACACGATTTGTATTTGGATTTCTTGCCTACAACAATCTCGTTTCCAGATCTTGGATCCTCTGGGCATCTTCTTGTTGGATCCGGGCCTCCTCCTGCTGACAAAGGTTGTTATGCTTCTCCATCTCCTCAATCCTTTGCATAGGCATTGATCGCAGTGTGAGCAATGCATTGATCTTCATTTGTTTCAGGTAGGATTTGCAACGCATCTTGTTGCACCTCTCCAGCATTTGCAACTCAGATTGGTAGATCTTGGTTCACCGCTGGAGTTGATGCCGATTCGAAATGTACATCGCTCACGTGAACAACATCATAATCAACCAACTGTTCATTATTAAGATCAGGATCATTTGCTGGTATCTCTTCTAAAATTGGATCTTGTGGTAGCCCATGATGCGACGATGGTGGCTGTTGATAACCGCTTCTTGTGTGTGCCATGTTTATCGTGGGAATAGAGGATCCCCACAGACGGCACTAATGTTCTGTCTGAATGACAGAAGTGTCTTGCCAAGGGCTAGTAGGTCAATCTATGATCAGTTACTCTCTCCAGGTATCTATGGATTAGATAACCTGAGGTAGCATATTACTGTACGCAATTATAACAGTGTTAGCCAAAAGGGTGGCGTGTGTGCACAGTGACAATATAACAGTTAAAAAGAGATATTAGGTCATACTTGTTAGCTTTATCTTCTATTTATAGGGTTTCACCTGTGGGTATGTGAGTTCTGGGCCTCTTACTCATAAGCCCAATTGTTCTCTTGCACAACTATCATGTTATTACTCTTTGTTGAGCTTTTAGATATATGGGCTTTATATAGGTCCATAACATAGAAATTACTTGCACTAATTAACTGTAACATGGAGCTAACTAACAACTATGAGTTGGAATGAAGTTGAATATACATTTATCTGATACTGTTGTCCTTTTTATATTTGCAAGAAGGACAAGAAAGAAAAAAATAAGAGGAACACCACACAAACTTAACAGAAAATTGTGCATTGGAATTTTTGTTTTTATTTAAGCTCTTCATGCTTAGGTTCATGACTCGTACTCATTACACATTACATTTTCAATTTCTCATTAAACAAAAGCCATCAAAGCCTTTGTTTACTTATTCATTTTTATTATTATCGTTACATATTAGCTAGTGCCAAAAAGACAAGCGTAGGTGGTACACATGTTACGATTGCAAATAGACCTCCAGTGTATTTAAGCCACGTCACTAGCTTCAGACTCACGAAGAAGAACTAGATATTTGAAGGGGTTATTGTTCTTGACCTGCCTTGCCTGCTTCCTCCGCAGGTTATATGCTTTTGCACCCACTTTCTCTGACAAAGACCTTAGCAACGAGTTCCCTCCTGCAAGGGTGGCGATAACAGATCTATCATTCGACTTGAAATTTTTGAAGTTTTAGGGAGACGGCAGCCCATCCTAGCCGCCTAAATCCGCCCCTGGATAGTTGGTTCTAAAATTTTTCCCCTAATTAAAAGATGAGTAATTTAGTCTTTGATTGAACCCTAATATTACAGCTAACATATCCATTTAAAATTAACAAGCGCGCGCGCATATATATATATATATTTATATATATATATATATGAGTTTAGCGGATGTAAAGCGACTGCACCTAAGGATTAGTGCAGTCATGTAAAACTACGTCGTTTTATAATGTGAAAGCATTAAAATAGGAAATAATAACCATATAAAAATGGAAAAAAATATAAAACATTAAATATGTGGAATCATAACCATACAAAGATGAAAATAAATATAATATTTTCATTTTTTACAATTAATTTTGAAAGCGAACTTCCTTTATCCCACCCAAAACAACGTAGTTTTCAGGTGACTGTACCAATGCTTATATGCAGTCACATTACAAATCATTTTGCCTATATATATATATATATATATATATATATATATATATGGTTTATCATTTCTCAAGCTGCCGGAGATAACTTTATCTCCGACTATTAAATCATAACAATACAAAGATGGATCAATGGTGATAAAAGAAGAGAGAAAAAGAGAATCCTAACCATTCAAAGGTGAATCAATTAATATAAGGAAATAAATAAACAAAACAATGTAATTTTGGTGTGGCCAGAGATAAACTTATCTCAAGTTGCCGGAGAAATATTTTTCCCATATATATATATATATATATATATATATATATATATATATATATATATATATATGAAGTAGGATCATTTGATATCAGTGTTAAATTTTAAATTTGACACATCATCTGAGAGCCATTGATCGTTTTTGATCTAATAGCTCTAAGATGAGGTGTTAATTTTCAAATTTGATACTAGTATTAAAAGATCTGTCCCAATATATATATAGGCTTTTTGACCCTTTTTATCCTTTATTAATTAAAAAATGATCATTTTGTTCCTCTTCCAAAATTATATATCAATTTGGGGCAAATTTAATCGATTAAAAGAGTCACGAGCGTATACCCTTCCTCACACTCGTTTGCCTATTCACATCACCAATATCTTTAGCAGCAAGCGTTGCACTTGTGTCGACTCTATCTTCCTTAAATTCCTAAAAGAACAAAATCCCACACTCGTGAATAGGCAAACGATGCTAATCGATTAAGTGACTCTTTTAATTGATTAAATAAGTGCAGTTAAATTGGTGTATAGTTTTGGGACAGGAATAATATAACTATTTTTTAATTAATAAAAGATAAAAGATTCAAATATATATATATATATATATATATATATATATATATATATATATATATATATATAAAAGAGAGAGAGAGGAGGTAGGTAGGTAGAAACGATTTTCAATGTCTTAAGTGAATTTTAGTTAAAATTTAAAAATAAAAAATATAAATTATAAATAGATTCAAAGTAAAAAAAAAATATGCATTCCATTTATCATAGAAATATCCCATTTAATTACTCTCTTTATTTCCAGAGACAAAAAAAAAATGTAGAATTTCTACAATTATCCCAATTAGTGTTGCTCGATCCAGATTGATTATTGATTTAATTGGGATATTGGGTTACCGATTGAATTGCATAAATTTATTTATATAAAAATATATAAATAAAATTAACATTTTAATTAAAGTGATTTGATTTAACGATTAAAATTATTCTTATCTTAATTAGTGTTACTGGTCCCCGATTGATTAATGATTTAATTGGGATATTGGGTTACCCATTGAATTGCATAAATTTAATTTAAATATATAAAAATATATAAATAAAATTAACATTATAATTAAAGTGATGTGATTTAACGATTAAAATTATTCTTATCTTTCTGTAGGTCGATACCAATTTAAAACCAGTTGACCAGATTACATTTATGACTATAATTGAAGATTCAACATTACTGTAATTCATTTTGCGATAAGTAGACAAAAAAATATAATATTATTTTTTCAGCTATCATTTAATTTTCTCTCTTTTAAGATAAAATAATATTTTTTGTCAACCTGTCATAAAATAAATGATAATAGCATTAAATATATGGTGCTACTACATAACACTAAAGATTTATTCCTATTCAGCAACCTTTTTAATATTTGAGATTCGAGCATGGTTTAATAATTTGTTTCCTCCAAAGGAAGCTTGATTTATTTTCAAAGCAAATACAATCACCTTAAACTTTTATTACTTTCAAGTAATACAAGACAAACCCAAACAGAGAGGTTGGGAACACAGAAATACGCATATAGAGAGATGATACATAAAGATACAAATGCTTTATATATCACTTAATAAAAGCTACTGATCTTTCTTCTCTGAGAGACTTAATATAAGCAACAAGTTTCTCCGGTTCAGGAATAATTTCTGCGATGAGTGGGACATCCTTAAAATTAATAAACCATGAATGAAAATGAGGGAATTTCTCAGCTTCTAGGATCTTCACTTCAAAGATATCTATCGCAATCTCAAGAAAACTGATGATGGATCCAAAAGCTATGTCAACAATGTTAATAGTGTCTCCTCCAAAGAATTTCTTCTCATCATCTAAACACTGATCCTCAACAACTCTTAGATGCTCCAAGATCTTCTTTATTGCCTTCTCCAGCTCTTCAGCAGTGCTGCTAAGGATGAGTGCCACAACTGCAGAAACCTTTTAAAAATTGACCCCCCCAATATTATTTTTACTTTGAATCATGATAAGAATTTTAGAGCTCAGAAAGTAATGAAAAAAAACAAAAAAAACGGTACACTAAATAAATTATAACTGAAAGGTAAACTGAACATGACTTATTTAAGTGTAGATGCTCATGATCATTATGGAATGGCTAGAAAAATGCATAAGATAAAGTTTATAAATATGTACCACCAAGTCATCAGCATATCTGACCCAAAACCGTGCAAGAGCTTTATCATATGGATCAGCAGGAAGCAATGGATTCTGTGGCCATGTTTCATCAATGTATTCAACGATGACCATGGACTCACATATGGGTTTTTCAGCATGAACGAGCACTGGAACCTTCTTATGCACTGGGTTGTATTTAAGAAGTTGAGCACTCTTGTTGAAGCGGTCTTCCTCTGTATAATCATATGGTATATCCTTTAGCTTTAGGGTCCATACTACCCTCCAAAGAAAGGGACTATACCAAAATCCGTGTAGCTTCACCTCTGCCATCCTTTCTTGTGTTTTCCTTAGTCAACACTAGCCTGTCTTTATAGAGTGATCCATGAAGTCATCTTGCTTGCTCAACAAGCTCAAATTTTCAACATTCTTCCTCTCTGTTCTTTGTGGGCACGTCTTCCTACGCACGCAAAGCCTTTTTTTCCCTCACCGGCAAGTATAATTTATTAGCACAAGGTTTTAGAATAATATTTTCTTATTTCTATACATTGTATAGTGTAAATATAATCCTATCTGCAATTGTCGAAAAGTGTGAACAGTTTTTTATTTTTAGTATTTGAAAATTCATAGGATGATGGAATCTTACAAGCATCCAATCTTGACTCAATTGCTTGCATAAGTGCTTGCATCACTGACTTCGATGACTAATAAATATGTGTATATCCATAGTTCTGTCTATAATCGTTTTTTTTAAAATTAGATTTTGTTTTGTTTTTCGTTGTTATTTTGAAGGCGCAAATATTTATGAAAGTCAGTGAAAAATGAATTAGGGGAGTGTTTCATGAGTAAGTAATTGCCAAAGTAAACACTTAAAGTTAGGCAAATATTTAATAAAGTATTTAATTGCCTACGCAAATACTTAATAAGTAAGTGAAATAATATTTGCACATATATAAATATATAATTAAAATTAAATAAAACTTTAATTATTTTTTCCATAGTTATTGAATGTAACAACTCGTTGTACACCAGTATTATTAACATTGATTATGATATTAAGCGCAATTACAATCACAGCAGTTCATTTAAAAATGCGAGTAAACTTTTTTCTTTTCATTACGTAAGCGTTTAAAAGCAATAATAAAACGTAATGATAAAAGCTGTTATCATAACTGAAATCTAAACGCGGAATAATTAAAATAATTGCCTAACTATCGGAATAATTAAAATAATTGCCTAACTATCATATATTGCTTATCTTAAGTCACTAAAAGGGGTTTCCATAAACCCACTTAACAAAATTCTCACTTTTACGATTTTTACAAAACTGAACATGGTTCAGTAATTAAACTGGACATTGCGAGAGATTTAGTGGTTACAAACCTCTCATATTTTATTTGTTATACTAGAGTTAATTACCTTTCCAACAAGCTATCACACGCTCCATAAAGTTCTCATTTGCTCCAGTTATCACCGTTTGAAGTTGGACAAGCAAAGCTGGCAACCAACCTCAAACAGGGCTCCAAATAGCCTCTACCATTTCTGCGATTCTGAACAAACTACTTTACCAATTGCTCTCAAATTTTTATACAATAAACTAGAGACACCTTAAGCTTCAATTTGAAATATCGTGGCCCTAATTTGACTAAGAATTAAGGGAGAAATAAATTTCTCAAAACCTGCTCCCGATAGCCCCCAAGTGCAGGGCAATCTGGACAGTCCTCATTCTTTTGCGTCCACAGGTCTGCGTACAACTCCAAGGCTACCAAATTTTGCCACAATATATTTGACATCTCAATCTTCAAAATGGTGTATGGCACGTCCCTATTGGACCTCTTTAGAGGGAGATATGCTCTCCCAAAGTTCACCTAAAAACTGTCGTTATATATAAAATTCGATGACATCTCCTTTGTTTATTCAACCTATCCCACTTTATCAAAAGAGTGTTATTATCCTCAAATGGTACCTAATAGACAAGGTGGCACTCAAGGACCAATAATTCCTTGGTGCTCTTACAACCCAGAACAATTTATGTCAATTTCCTCAAGTTACAATTCAATAATTACATTGTCAAAACTTAAATTTATTTCAATCACATTACTTGCATGCATTCTTCATATTAAACATACATCATATCCTAGAATAGGCCTATTGCCCTTTCATCACATACATGATTTAAATGTTGCACAAGGTCCATAATAATAATATTACAATTCTCCAAATGCTTAACATAAATACAAATAAGTCCTCAAATAAAACATAATGAATCAACAACTAAACTTAGGAAAAATATGGCATGAACAAATATGACAATATGCATAATCCTAAATCCATATACAATGTTCATGCCCTAAGTCTAGCCTATGCCAATAGTGGTCTCAAAATGCAAAATAATCTCTTTGTCCAAGTGCTCATCCCATGGGCCTCTTGCCCACAGCTCCAGTCCCACTGCTACTATCTGAAATAAAGCCCCAAACACGGGGTGAGATATACGAATATATCTCAGTAACCCAGAGGTTCTGGAGATTACTCCGTCCAATGGCTCACTCAGATGTAAATCAATAATGTACCATAATAACTAAAGAGGGATAAAGCAAGGGATGAATAGAGAGTAAAAATACGATGAAGCTGGAATGATCGAAGCCAAAACAACGCAACATCCGGCCTATTGGTCTCGACATATAACCTATGGGTTCTCATCCAAGGAAGTGTTCCCAGAATATCAACCAAGGCACCCACCACCAATACACCCAAGATATTACTAGATTTCTTCTCAATGGATAACAACTCCATGATCCCACATCAACTGGAACTCCCTCGCGGAGACCTATCTAGTGGAAGTTCGTAATGCCCGAAGGCAACTATCAACTGACCAGAGACACGGTACATCCTATGTACCCAATATATATACTTATGCATGAGCATGTTATAATTACACTATTAACATACAACCTCCAACCACTACCCCCGAAGGACATGATGGAGCACAAATGGGGATTAACCCTAGTACCAAAGGATTACCTTGTTGAAGCTCTTTCTCTAGGTAACCCCAATGCAAGGTACAACCGAGCTTGGTCCAACTAGAAATGCCTACACACAGGTCATTCTCATTTCAATTAGAACCATACAACATTATACACTTGGTTATTCAAGCATTCATGAATTTTTACATAAACACTTACCACAATCCTTTTGGTCAAGGACCAAAGGCAATCCACCAAGCTCACCGTTCAAAGTTCACGTCCGTGCGAGGCAACCTACAATGACCACACAAGGATAATCAATATCATGGTGCAACCAAATCAAAACACAAAGCACCACACCCCCACACATACCTAGGTTCGGCCATTTGGCCAAAAATACCTAGCCATGTTCTTAATTTTATTTCAAGGTTCCAATAGCTTCCTAAGCTTACCACAACACCAAACCAATTCCTTAATTTCATTCCATTACCCTTCAATATCATTTTTTCCAATTATCCTCCTTTAGGCCAATATCCACACTTAGACATATTCAATGGTTCCAATTCTAATCCAGAAGCACCAAACCAACATACAACCTATTTAAACATAGTTCACAACCACACAACACCAATTACATGATTTTTACATCATTTTCCCCTCACATCCCTTATATGGCCGAATAGTGCATGTCCATATACCTAGGGGTATCCAATCCAATTTCACACATCATACAATCCACTAATTAACTCATACAATTACTCCACAACTCAATTATACAATCCTACAATCATTCCATTTCACAAAGTCGTGAATTTCCATCATAAATTTTGCCTAAGTTAACCAACTTTTCATCAATAATTTTTATGAGCTCAATCATCATAAAACTTCATTCTAAGACACTTTTATCTAATACACTTTTTCAATTTAAAGTCCCTAACCATATTAATCTATACAAGCATGCTTTAGGTCTTCAAAATCAAATCCAACCAATGAAATGTGTTGAAACTTACCCACAATCAAGGCCTAGGACTCCTCCACGCAATACCCAAGCAATAGAGGACCAAACAACTCCAAAAACATCAACCTCCCTCACCAAAGCCACGGACATTGGTCAAGATTTTCTCTCAATCTAGTGATTTTCATGCCTTGAGACTACCATGGTTGTGTTTAGAATGCAATTTACTTAAAGTTTGATGTAGTAGAACATTGATTAAGATTTGAAGCAAAACTTGCACAAGGAATAGGAAGGGTCGCTGGATTGAGAGAGAGAAGGGGAGGAAGGGGATGATGCAATAGTGATTTGGCCATGTGGCACAAGTCCACTTAAGTGGGGGTGGGCCTCACTGCCACCTCATGTGATTCAAATTAATTCAAATCTCATGCATAAACAATAAACGTCCATTTATTCCTAGACTATTGAGAAACATCATCAATAAACATTCACCATTGCCCTTTAATTGTCCTTGGTCAGATGAATCCGGAGTTTTCCGGTCGTTCGGTGAAATCACAGTTTTAAGCTGTTATGTGCATTATGGGCACGCTTCTCCAAAAACCCTAATTTCATACAATTTTCACCAGAAATCATAAATCCTAGTTCTATGTACCATTTGTAAATTTTTTCCAAACCTAGAGCTCAAAATTCATTAGGCACGCTTTACAGTACAACTGTATTGCTACATTTTTACCCGATTAAAACACTATTAATCAAATTTCCAGAAACTTGCCTAACCACTCAATTTTTCGTTCTGAATCCATTTCCAGAGTTATTTTTTTCCATTTGAGACCTTCTACTCACATTTCATTTTCTAGGGTTAGGTGTTTGGCAAATTATCGTTTTACCCTTTTTACGTATTTTGACACCGAATTCAGGATTTTCACTAATTCTCCCTTTAATCCATATTTATGATATAATTATATGATTTAGAATTACGATGTGTTGTATTGAACAACTGATTCTATATCAAAAATATTAAGTGTTCACTTTTTATTTTTTCCTGAAATAACAATATATATTATTAAGTATTACCATGAAGATTTTTTTATTCAGTAATACTTTTAGTACAATTGAAAAAATTAATGGTTCGATTTTTCTTCCGTAAAAATTAGTTAAACAAAATTCTGTACAGCCCTCTCAACATTTTTTTTTGCAATGAATCAAATAATACCGATATTTTAAATATTTTATTGTAATATGAATTTTTTTTTACTGAATTTTTATTCTTTTAACATTTTTTAAATTATAAATGGATGTTCATAGTTACGTAAGCTATTCTGTGTTTCTATTATAGATTTTAAAAATTTAGTCATGATTTTATAATTAGTAAATATTTAATCGAAAACTTAGTTAAATTATAAAAAAAAATTATAACA